TGCAAGAAAAGGGGTGTACTTATTTAATATTGTTAATACCGTTAGACCTAACAAGTTATGTGCAAATTTTTTATTTCTTTTAACATCGCAGGAATATAATTTTTAAAGAAGGTACCTTCCTATCTTCTTCTTTTTCAATTTGACATGAGGTAGAATCGAACTCATCCAATAAAAGTGGTACACTTATTTAATATTGCTAATACCATTAGACTTGAAAAGTTATGTGCAAATTTTTTATTTCTTTTAACATCACAAGAATATAATTTTTAAAGAAGGTACCTTCCCATCTTTTTTTTTTCCTCTTCTTCTTCTTCTTCTTCTTCAATTTGACATGAGGTAGAATTGAACTCATCCAAGAAAAGGTTCTTTTAACATTGCAGGAATATAAATTTTAAAGAAGGTACCTTCCCATTTTCTTCTTCTTCAATTTGATATGAGGTAGAATCGAATTTATCTAAGAAAAATGGTGCACTTATTTAATATTGTTAATATCGTTAGATCTAAAAAGTTATGTGCAAATTTTTTATTTCTTTTAACATTACATGAATATAATTTTTAAAGAAGGTACCTTTCCATCTTCTTCTTCTTCTTCAATTTGATATGAGATAGAATCGAACTCATCCAAGAAAAGGGGTGCACTTATTTAATATTGTTTCTTCTTTTTCTTCTTCTTCAATTTGATATGAGGTAGAATCGAACTCATCCAAGAAAAAGGGTGTACTTATTTAATATTGCTAATACTTCTTCTTCTTCTTCTTCTTCCTCTTCTTCAATTTGACACGAGGTGGAATCAAACTCATCCAAGAAAAAAAGTGCACTTATTTAATATTGTTAATACTGTTAAACCTAAAAAATTATGTGCAAATTTTCTATTTCTTTTAACATTGCAAGAATATAATTTTTAAAGAAGGTGCCTTCTCATCCAACCTTAACGCACCATTCTCAATTGGTTTGATTGTCACTTCTTATAACTCAACTTTTAATTGGACTAAAATTCATTAACAATTTTCTTTACTTTTAGTTAGGATAACTGCTTATGTACTGGCTAAATGCAGTCATTGGCATTAATGCCAACAACTACCAAAATAAGTCCTCTATATCTAGTCTAGATATGAGATACGTCAAACTGTCAAAGTTAATAAATTTTCTACATCCCTGCAAGAAACGCAACTTGCATCCTATGGTACTCACCAACAACCTTCGAAAAACTTAGATATCAACTTGCAAGCACAATTCTGACCATCGATTTATAGCTTCAATCTCAAAACAACGTTTGTGCACTAAAACATTGAAAAACATGGTTTAGAAATCTTAAAAAAAAATTCTTTTGGAATTAGGATGTAGTTTTATATAATTTTTACACACATTATCTATACAAAATTTTAAAATTATTATTAAGGACTTGTTTAATTAACAATCAACTTTATTAATAAAGAGTTTATTAAAAAGATAATTGAGAAATACTATACAAAAAGTTAAAAAGTATGATATAAAAAGTTGAAATGTTTTATTAGAATTTTATTTGATTGTTATTTTTTATTTTTGATAAAAGATTAATATTAAAAATAAAATAGACCAATAAATTGTTAATAGAGTCTTATGTAAGAAATGTTATGAAGGAAAACTTTTCTTTTAAAAAGTGTTGAAAAAGTTTATAAGTAGATAATTATGTTAGAAAAAAATAAAAAATAAAAATATTATTATAAAAATACATAAATAAAAAAGTATTTTGTATATCATCTTTCCAAATATTTTTTTGGAGAATTGTTTAAAAATTTAGCTTATAATTAATATTTTTTCAAAAATTAATTGTTATATTAAAAAAAAATATATAGATCACATCAAATTTATAAATTGATTTAGTAGATTTAATTAGTTTATTGATTATATGAAATTTAACATCATTGAATACATATCAATAAATAAAGTTGTATTAATTAAAAGATTATAAATATTAAATTAATATAAAAATTAATATAAAT